TACCCCCAAAGGTGGAAACCTTGTAGTCTCCAACTTTCTGGTCCGGCTGATTCTGCTTGTCACACAGCTCGTCCCAGGAAAAGGCAATGTCATCCACAGGCATGACATACATAGGAATTGGGAACGGGTTGGAGTCACTGCTGTGAATGAGCGGTGTACTCCAATGCCTGGAGCTTTTGCCAAGCTGCACGCCCTTTCCGGAGCCTTTGGACTCCTTACGGGCCCTTTCAAAAATCTCCTTGTCGGCTTTGTCCATCTCCAGCTGGATGCCGTAGGCCACTTCGCTCCAACATTGTTCCCAGAGTGTGTCTTCCAGGGCCGGGGCCGGCGGTTTACTCTGGATGATTGTGTGCACATCCCGAGTAATCTCCAGCCGCCCCTGAAACACACCATCCTTCTCAAAGTAGATCATCCTGGCTGCTGCACGGATCTGGTCGTTCCACTCACGGTTCTCGCTGGGCTCCATCACCGTGAGTGTTCGCCAGAGGATGATCATTTGAGTGGGCGGATTAGTCTGGGTTTCCGCCCACTTGTTAACTTGCGCTGGAACTGAGGCGAAGCCGGCGTGGCACGGATGTGAAATCCTTTGGCCACCGTCTGCCCGTCCTTCCAGAGCGGTGTACCCCCTGAGCCTCCAAACGCGGCCATGAACTCCTTGCGGAGGTCCCAGGATTTGAAATACAGTGTGGTAACTGTACTCCACTTGCCGGTGCCGGCTGGCGGTGTACTCGGGTCAGTTTGCAAGGCCCCGAGATAGTAATACTCGGCAGAGTCAGAGGCGTTGTAGCTGCGCTGCTGCAGGAAGTGACGCACATAGGTGACCTGTCCCAAAAGCCAGTTGATCATGCACAGGCGCTCTCCAGGCGCGATGCTTTGATCCCAGCCGCTGAGAATAACCATCAGGCCGCACTCGCGCTTCTGCTGCGCCCTGTTCTCAGAAGCTAGCCAGCGTAGGCCTTCCTGGTTCTGCGCGATGCGGTCGTCGAGCGTTTTAACCACGTTTTCCACTTGGCTGATATAGTGGAAAAGCTCCGGGCGGATTACCCCATGGTGGTAGGCCCGCACCGTCTGTAAAACGTCCGCGCGCGTGGAAACCGTTCCGGAGAGCCACGATTGCACTGCCGCTGGGTCGTTGATATCCACCCCCCAGCTGTGCTGCTGCCAGTGAGTATGCCGTGGACTCCTGCATGGGCATGGGCTGGAAAAGGTTAGCTCCCTGCCCTGCATCTGGCGGGGTAGCAAAGGGATCCGGTCCCATATCCTCCATGGTAGCTTCCGACTCTGGCACCTGCGGTGTACCCAGCATAGAGCCCGAGGCTGACGGGGCTTTGCGCTTGTCCTGCCTGTGCTGAAACCAAAGCTGCTGGTTGGCGGTGTACACCGGTTGGCTCGTAATATTCTGCTGCAAACCCAGTTGCTGATGGGCTTGCGTGAGCTCTCTGGCCAGATTGGAAGGCGGGTTAGCCGGAGCTTCTCCGCCCTTTCCTGCCATTGCCGATCGAGGCAGGCCTTCCTGTGAAACCCGTGGCGGGGTACTCCCTTGAGGAGCCGCCAACAAAACTTTCAGAAACAACAAACTCTGCAAAAACCTTCCGAAGTGAAACCTGTAAGCTGCCATGAAAGCCATAACAACCAACCATGCACATGCGCCGCTGAAAGCCGATACGCCTCTGTAGGGGGTTTAGGGTTTAGGATTGAAGAATTAATGGGTGGTTGTCTAAATTATGGCCCCTTTTTGGGTACCCTAACTAGTAGGTGTCGTATTATAGTAAGGACCCAAACAGGGACCCCAATATTGACAACCACCCAACTGGGGTTTAGAGTTGAGTTGTTTTTTTTGTTGGGGGGGTTAGGTTTAGGGCTTTATGGTTTAGGGTTTAGGGGGTTTGTTTTTGTTGGGGGGCTAAGGGTTCAAAAGGTATGGGGTTTGGGCTTTTTTTGGTTAAGGGCTGGCAAGGCTTTTCGGGGTTCGGGCTTTGGGGCTTGTATGTTTGTGGCTGCTGTGTTGAGGTATTGAGGCCTCAGGGATTTTGTGATCAAGACCTTCGGACCCATTTTCGGGTTTTTGCCTCTACTCTCGTCTCGTGTTTAGATTGCCTATCGTGTTTAGGTCTTCACCATCAGCAAGGGTTACGTCATGCTTACTAATGTACCGTTGCCAGGGTCGCGACTAGCACTACTTAGTTAACTAGTACTAGTACAGTGTGTTGTCATGTGGCGGTCTCTTTGCCAACCTTTTAATCACCAGCATCTGTTTGCATCTTGAACCCTGAACTTGGCCGAGCCCAAGACCCGAAGGCCTAACACAGGATGTTGGTGAAACATTGCTAAGTGTACATTCGGGGGTTTGGTACGGGGATGCCAGAAAAATCCCTGCGCAATATCATGAAACTGTTTGGTTTGAACATATTACTCTGCTTGGCCCTGTTATCGTTGCCAGAGTAATTCGCTGTTACTCATGTAGCTGTGAGTTCGCATGCTTGGTGGCGATTCAATTTGTCCGCCGCTCTTCGCGTCAGAATGCTCAACCCTAAACCCTTAACCCCTAAACCCTTAACCCTAAATCTCTAAGCCGTGTCTTGTGTGGTGAAAGTCATGGGCTCGCATCGCGGCTCCCCTCTTACAAGTTACGGAACTCCGGAAGTCAGCTCAACGCAGCTGTTGCAGTTACATGAGCTCGTAAACCCTTCCAACATTCTGAACTCCGGAAGGAAAGCCAAGCCCCCTGGTTTTAGGGCCATGCGGCTTTAGTTATTTAAATAAGTACTTGGCCTACCCTCCAAAAGCATTGTTATAGCAAGTAGTTAACTTACGCTTCATGTTAGATTATGTAGGATCTTGGATCCTCACCCTGGTTTTCCTCAAAAGCCATGTGTCACTGTGTACAGAATCGCCCATAGCCTTTCTTGCTCCCACCTAGGTTTTGGAGTCTCTGGGCGCATGGGTTCTGGTCAGATCCCCTAAAGCCCAAACTCCCCAAGCCCTAAACTCTATCTCAGCTCTCTGAGCCCTTACTTAGCCTTGAACTCCCGAAACCCTAAAGCCCTGAAGCTCAAACCCCCAAGCCCCAAACCCTCAGCTCTGAACCCTAAGCCCTGAGCCCGACGTCCTAAACCCCAACACCCCTAAACCCCAAAACCCCAAACCCCAAACCCTTAAACCCTAAACCCTCAACCCCAAGACCCAAAACCCCTAAAGCCCAAACACACCTGCTTCAAACGCCAGTCGGTTGAATCGGCGATGGCTGCAGGTCGAGGCAGTCTCGCTTTTTTGTGGGCCAAATGCCTAGTTCTCCACTACCCAGGGATCCTTAAAATGCGGTCTACAAGGCATCTATAGTACTGTCCCATAAAATAGGGGCCTTTATGATTAGTAGAATAGGGTCTACAGTAAAGTAAATCCTTAAAGTCCTAAACCCCAAACCTTAGAGCCCGACCCTTCAAGCCCTTAACCCTGCGAGCCCCTTCAGCCAACACCCCACACCCTACAAGCCCCATAAGCCCATGTATCACACCACGCAAACCTCACCCAACACATCCCCTAAGCCCGACAAAACCCCATCAGACTCCCTTATTCCCAATGCTAAAGCTCGAAACCTTACTTCCTCACCACAGGAATGAAACGTTCATTAATCCGGGTTAACCGGCAAACCGATTTTAGTTCAGGGCCTGGGGGCCAAACAAGCTTTTAAGGGTTGGGTAATCTGGAGCCTGATTAAGAAACCCTGGCCCGATAACCCCCTCATATATTAGGCTTCATATAAGGAACCCTAACAAAGACCCAAGGCTTCTTAATCAGGGTCTGGGGAGGATTTGGTGTATGAGGGGTCTCCTGTTCACGGGGTTCCATAGGTTTCCTGATAGGGGTTGATGAATCTGTTAATCTCTGGTGTCTGCTGCAACGTTTCGAACCCGAGGCTTTCTAGGTTTCACGGATCATGTCTTCGACGGTTATGGTTTTGTAGATGGTTTCAGTGGAATATCTAGGTAGTCTTGGGCGTTCCTACCCATAAGCCCCGATATACAATCCGTGAATAGGGTCCCGCGCAACTACGACAATCCTAGATCCTAGAACCTCAACCCCACGACCTACGCTCTTTGAAAAGTATACCACAGGCCCGAAACCCTGAACCCCAAACCCTAAATTGCCAGGACATCGCGCCGCCCTGTCTGCGGCAGCTTCAGCTGCTTCGGCCTGGCGACAGGTGCGACGTTCTCAGTAGGAATTTATGGCAGGCAGCGGCTGCAAGAGTAGGGGACAGAGACAAAAACCTCAAGAGCGCAGATTCTGCTGATAAGTTTGTTTGGCCATGCGACTCCCGCCTTGAAACCCCAAACCCTAAACCCTGAGCAGGGTTTTCGGGTGTAGAGTTTGGTACCCAGTGGTTCGGGGTTTAGGGTTTTGAGTTTAGGGCTAGTATCAGAGGCGAAAAGGAGGGACCCTTAATGGGGACCCCTACCCTACAATGGTCTATATAATGGGTATTTAATAGCTATATTCAGGGTGTATACCTAGGGGTCCTTACTAAGGGTCTCTTCTTTTACCCTTGGATAGTAGGCAGGTTTCGAGTGCTATGACTCTGCCTCTATCGGCGGCTGAAGCCTTGCACCGCACCCTGTAATATAGCGGTTTGGATAAGTACTACGACATATCATTCAAGAGTTCTATGAAACTGTGAGAACAATCTCCATCCCTTGTGATCAGTTGCGGAACCCTTATGGAATGATCGAATGCCAAATCCTTCGAGTCTGAAAAATGCGGGTCTGAGGAGTAAGTCGTCCCCTTATAATTATACCGCAGCCGTCCCTCAATCATTGTTTTGATTATGATGGCCACTCGTAGCTCTTAGCCATAAACCCTGAATCCTAAACCCTAAACCCCCCCTAAACCCTGAACTCTACTATAGGGGCCTTAATAATCAGAAAAGGGTTTGGGGGTATATTATACCATAAATTATGAAGGGCCCCACATGAACCAGCCCGGAACCCTGAGCTCAAGCAATGGATCTGCTGCTGATCATCGTCCTCTCGTCTTTGGAGCTGCTTGCAGCGCTGTGCTTCGCTGTGGACTCTTCTCCTTTCTGTGATTTAGAGTTGGGTTTGTTGGCGTTTAGGTTTCAGGGTGTTAGGGATTAGGGTTCCGGGTTAGGGTTTAGGATAAGAAGGTTCAGGGATGTGCTCGGCGGTTCGCGCGCTGTTTAATTAGCATGCAGCAGCATACAGACATGTCCACCGCAAGACATAGCAACCAACAGAACCAAAGACTGCCATAGCCTAGCCGAGCCAACAGCAAAAGCTGGAGGTCATGTGGGAGTCTAGGCTCACGTCAGACAGTGGATGCTGTTTGCAGTTTAATGGATGCTGTGCTGTATGGAAAGGTGAAGGTCTCCGCGGCTTGCGAAATAGGGCATTCCGGACCGAAGGGTCTTCTCATGGAAACAGCCCTCCTGAAGGTTGCGGATATTCAGGCGTGTCTGCCAAGGTGTACGTTTTCGGCCGAAGGGCTCTCTCGTCGAAATATCGCCGCACTGCCACTTTGTGGTTTCGCATCGCTAGGCACAAGAGACCAGCCAGGGCCAGGGCAAGGGCAGGCCAGCCAAAAGGCAAAAGGTAACGACGACATGGTGTAATTAGGGCCCTACAACGAACAACAGGGCTGAGCTTGACGACCAAGCTTGGCGTCGCGCTGCCCGGGGTTGCATGGTCTTATACTGGCGCTCGACAGCGCCCACCTAGCGACAGACGGAGAGCGGTGGTGGTTGGAGATTTGTTTTTAGAGTTTTGGGGTGGCAGGGCGTCTATTCCAAAGCTCGGGTTTACGATTGCAGGTTTTCTGGTCAGAACTCTTCCGAATGTCACGGTATGGATAGAGTTTTTCGACTGGCACTGAAAATATTTCGGAAGTAGGGTTTCGGACGCGTTGTTTGGGCAAGAGGGTTTGGAGTTTGTAAGGTTTAGGAGTTTGGGAGATGTTTTGACACGGTTGTCCAAACCCTAAACCCTAAACGCGGCTGGTGCAAGAAGTAAGGACAAGTGGCAGGCGGCTTGGCGGGCAAAGAACCTCTACCTAGAGGCCCCAAAGTAGTTCCTTTTTGGGATTACCGAATAGGGTTCTATAACATGAACCCCAAAAACTTTTGGTAAACCCGAACTCCAGCCAATCAAATTGACAAAGCCCTTGAGCCATCAACGCCTTATACCCCTAGATTCCTTACCCAGAATACCGTAGGCTCCATGCCAAAGAACCCTCATAGAGCCTACATAATACGGTTGGTTTAACCCCATCATAGGAACCCTAAGTCCTACAGCGCTCAGAGGCTTTGACTACGGAGTCCGTTCTCTGAGGGCTTGGGTCAGGTTTCGGATATCGAGTTTATAGATATCAGTATATATGGGTTCAGGGATATCGGGTTTAGGATGTAGCCGTAAACTCCGAAGGTAGTGGTCGACTTCCTCCACTTCTCATTACACAACATCACATAAACATAAACTAACTAATCAACTAGTGACACCTGTATGCCCCTCCCCCAAACCCAATGATTCTGCTTCGTAAAGCTCCTTATTGTATTTAGGGTAGTAAGAACCTTACAGAAGCCTTGAAAGAAGCCCCTTAAAGGACACCTATAAAAGAAAGGCCCTAAGTTTGGGTTACTTTTTGGGGGGGGCTCCGCTTCTGAGGCAAGAAGAGGAGGTCGCCGCATCCCTCGCAAGCATCTCCTCGTTCTTCTGCTTCTGGGGCCCTTTCTGGCCACGGCGGGGGCGTCAGACTGCGAGATTTTCGGGGTGGTTGAGATGGATTGAGGGTTCAGGCTGCATGAGGGTTGATATTTATGTTCAGGGTCTGGGGTTTAGGGTTTAGGGTTTTTGTTTAAGGATTTGTGCAGGCTCAGGCTTCTGGGTTTAAGGTAAGTTTGGGCACATCATGAGAGCTTTACATCCAAGTTTAGGCTCCCTGACCTGCAATTCGCATGAAGGTCGCCATGGTGCTGCTACACCACAAGGCGTGGCGTGTTCTTCAATTCCGAACGGCTTAGGGTTCAGGGTTAAAGGGTTTAGGGCTTCGGGTTTAGAGTCTCCATAACCAGTTTTGTGGTTAGGATCCTATAATAGAGATTTTGGTTAACCAAAGAAGGAACTACAATGGAGACTATAGGGAAGCCCTATACTGCAAAGCGCCGCTTAAGCGACCCTCAGTCAGTCTATAGGATTCCCGTGGTTCACGAGGGAAAGTCCTGCATCGCAGAGTTACATACGGAAGCTGTTGCCTGAGGCATGGGGTTTAGGGTTTAGGGTTTAGGGTTGGGAGGCAGGTTCTCTGTAGGGTCCAGGTAAACCCTGAGGAGACATCGAACTTGCAATGTGTAATATAGAACCCCAGCTAATTACCAAGCTTATCCTAAGGGTTCTTTTATTCTAGTCATAGTATCATATGCCCCAAAGCCCTTATTCTAACTATGAATTCCACTACATCAATCCAACAGGTGCGAAAGCGCCGATTCCTGATTGGAAGTGTCGTCGGAGGAGCCGGGCCACCCACCCAGACGCAAACTCTCACCGACAGCCACAGATGATAGTTCAGTTCCCCCGAAAAAGCATCATGTCAACCCGAAATCCTGAATTAACCTGGAACCCTACGCCCCATGATACTAATTAGTACCCTAAATTCTTACAGCCCTAAGGCTTCACACTGAAAGCTTTAAATCCCAAAAAACTCTTCAGTTCCCGAGGAGTGCTTCGGGTGGGCATGGCCGTTGCCTGGATAGAGCTTTTGCATTTTGACGCAGGCTGGGTTTAGGGTGTATGGTTTGGAGTTTTAGGGTTTTAGGGTTTTCGCGTTTAGGGTGTAGGGTTTATAGGGTGTAGGCTTTTAGGGTTTTAGGGTTCGGGCTTTAATTAGGGTTTAGGGCTGGGCAGAAAAGCTGGTCTATACGGGATGTATACACAGTCCTGATTGGAGGTACAGAACTCCTTTGTAGATCCTAGAAATATTAACCCCTCGAACAAACCACCAAAAACCCCATGACGACCTCCAAAACCTCTTTCTGTTCCATGGTTTTGGCAGCTACCCGCGCCCACAGCCACAGGTCTTTTGGCGTATACTGCTCCCCGGACTGATCCTGCCAGAGACTGCGAGAGCGTTTACTTGAATTGAGAGTTTAGGGTTTGGGCTTTAGGGAATTTCAAGTTAAGGATTTCGAGCCAAGGTCAAAGGTTTGGAGCTTTGGGTGTAGCCTTGCAACTTAAAAGTTAGAATAATGTACCCCCAACTCATAGCACCTAGTAGTTCAGATTTTTGTTGCTCAAAAACGGCTGCTGCGCAGATTCATAAGGTTCTGGAAGGGCGTTAGATATCCATTAAACCCTGTGTCATACAAAGGATCCCGAAAAGCCACCTTGATGTGGGAGTCCTTGGTTGAGGCTTTGTATATAGGGCCTTAGGGTTTAGGGTTTAGGGTTTAGGGTTTAGGGTTTAGGGTTTCGGGGCTGAGGGTGTGTATAGGGTTTAGGGCTTTGTGTAACACCGAAGGCACCCGCCAAAGCAAGACCTGGCTTGGCAAAGTGGATTTCTAGTGACTCTTTTGCGTTCACTAGGCTGTTTTAGAGGGTTTCGTTTGCAGCGCGATAAGGGTCTCTCGATGTAGACGCTTGGTTAATCAACCCAGGGGCTACAAAACCCTAAACCACTAAAGCTCAAAGCCTCAGCCATTAGGCTGCCGCGACTTACGCCCTTGTTCTTCTTGTGGATGGCATGCTCATCAAACAAACGCAGCAGTGCTGTAGGCGAATCCAGACGGGATACCATAAATTCAATTGCACTTTTGAAGCTCGACGCGAGGCCGGAAGCAACGAGCTCGTTGTGAGCTTTAACAACTTTCAGTACCGTTCCCTTTGATGTAGCACCCTCCCCCACCCAAAGCCTTAAACCCTAAACCCTAACACCACCCCCGCCTCCCCCACAAAACAAACGATGAATGCATCAGTCAAGGTCAGATCTTAGGTTCCCCGGTTTCCCACCGATCCGTGCCCAGTCTGTCGGTGGTTGTGCCTGGCTGGCGGCGCTCTTGCTGCAAGCTCGCCGCGGCTGCCACTGCAGCTCGGGAGAGCAAGATGCAGCATACACCAACCCTTTTGGTTTCTCTATAACATAGTATAACAGTAATAGCAACAAATATGAGCACTTAACTAACAATAATTCAATAGCAATAATAATCATCATCATCATCATAATGTTATTTCGTGGGCCTGTTGGATAACGTTTTCATGGTACAGTATGGCCATATAGCCCCTGTAGAACTCTATTCAAGATCCTCTATTTCACAGAAGGGATCTGCGTCTCGGTAGGGCTTCGTGGGTTGTTTTGTCTCAGGCGACTGACGCTATAAAGCGATGCAAAGGTTGGGGTTCCAAGTGTATAGAAAGAGTAGTTCTGGTATGTGTAGATTGGGGTTTCAAGTCTTGAAGAGCGGTGAGTTTGGGTCTAAGGTATAGGGTTTGGGGTTTGGGCTGTTTTGTTAGAGGAAGTGTTCGGTTCCTTAACAGGACTTTAGGCTTTGGGGTTTTAGATTTTGGAACTTAGCTGTGTAGGGTTTAGGGGTTTAGGGTTTTCTTCAACGAGGAGGAATGACGGAATGACACCCCTATACCAAGGAGCCTAGCCGTGTCCAGTCGGGCCAGAAGCATTGGCATCAGGGTCTATTGATTATGGAAGCATGAAGTTTTAGTCACACTCCGGATTAGAGATTCGACAGACCCTGAATTAAAGCCCGACCTACTACTTACTACTACTACTACTACTACTACTACTACTACTACTACTACTACTACTACTACTACTACTACTACTACTACTATGACTACTACTAGGACTACGACTACTATAGTAGTAGTGAAATCCTTCACGATCAACTGCCCCTAAATCCCGGACACAATACCCATCCTCTCAACCACATGTGGTGCCAGCGGCCAAAGTCACGACCAGAACTTCGAGCCTGTCCATGAGAAGGTTGTAAGCATCCGTTGAGGGCTTACAGTAGAAGCCCAAAAGTTGGAAACCCGATAGCCACTCCATCCTTAAGAGTAATGTATAGGGAATCACAGCACTATTTGGCCTTAATCCGGTTTCCAACTTTATGGGGTTTACTGTAGGGTTACCGAATGGAAGCCGTTAGTCCACGGTTTAATATTGAAACGTACGACTTATAAGCTTCAACGGGACGTGGTCAAGAGACCTGGGATGTTCAGAAAATGTGGGCCTCCACGAGCCTACCGTATGCTTTACTCTTGTTCAGGTGAGCCCTCTACGGAGCATGGGCCAGGTGACGGGCTAAAGCTTAAGGCTTACCCACAGAGCCCAATACCCCTTAATTAAGGAATATAGCTTATATCATAATATGAAGCCCTATGTAATTTTACGCCATATTTCCTTAATTAAGGGGTATTGGGCTCTCTGGGTATCGTCTTAAAGTTGGATCTCGGGTTGCGGTTTGTCTCTGTGTTCGCGGCTTGTACCAGCCATGGGACGACTGGAGTTTGAATTTCGGGCTTGGAGGGCTCAGGAGTGTGGGTAGGAAACCTCCTGGCACTTGACACTTATGGCCGTTGCAATTGTTGTGCCTGACCTTGTGCGGGAGGGAACTTCTTTTGCTGTCTTTGCTTCAGAGGGGTGCGAGGATGCAGTCAACAGACCTAAGCTCAAAACCCAACGCCCGTCTGGAGCTTGTTGGAACCTTTTGTATTGCCCGGTCATCTCGCAGCACACTAAACTCCCAACCCCACGAATGTTCGGCAAATGCTGCATCGCTATTAACCCATCTTAAACCCACCAATCCTTCAGAACAAACATTCGAAACCCGCCACCTTCCAGACCAAACTTTCTAGAACCCTCTACATCCATGTAAAGTCCCAGAAGTCCTCAAGATGCACTGCAAAACGCCAGAGAGCCTGCATACCCACCTTGCAAAGTGCCATCCAGCTTAAACCGAGCACCCTGAACTCGTAACCCTGACCTCAGACCTACCTTAAACAACCACAACCTACTTGTTTTTAGTTAGGGTTTCCAACCAGCACCTACAAAAAACAGCAGGGTTTAGTAGGTCTAGGTAAAACTCAGTTGCTCTAAACCCTAAACCCCTAGACCCGTAAGCCCTATAAACCCTATAAATCCTATAAACCCTATAAGGCCTATAAGCCCTATCAACCCTTTAAGCCCTCTAAGCCCTGAGACCTAAAGCCCAGTTCATCCCCTCATTCCCTGGGCAGGTGTCATAGGAGGCCAAAAGGGGTTTTAGCCAATGTGGTTTAATAATGATTAGGGTTCCCATAATAGGGTTCATATTCGGGAATCCCTACCCAAAGAATCTTAAACTTCCGCTTTTGGGCATCCCATCAAACCCTGCCGAAGCTTAAACCCTAAACCCCTAAACCCCTAAACCCCTATTGCCCGTGCAGGTGGCGCAGGCCCGGTCGCAGTGGGCCGGGCCAGAGAGGGAGCGGCCTTGCGTATTTGAGGCTCCTAGGGTTTAGGGTTTAGGATTTAGGGTTTAGGGTTTAGGGGTTTAGGGGTTTAGGGTTTTATTCTTTAAAAGTTAGTATTTCAAATTTCAAAGGAAGAGGATGGCTGTTATGTCTGTATTATGTATTGCTATTATTGGTATTACTAGTATAAGTATCAGTATTATACTAGTCTATGTTACTGATGTTCTTCTTATTATTGTTATTTGTTTCTGGGGCATATGAAACCTATGGTCCAGGCTCGAGGCTTGAGTGTAGACTTTCTAAACCCCTGAGCCCTTGTTTCAACAGGACCTGGCGTTCCTTTATCACTTTGGCCTCCGACTGCAGCCGAATGCGACCTCCTGGAGTGCGGCACCAGGTCGGGCGAACTCGCGAGATCTTGCATCCTGAAGCCGCCCAAAGACCACCTGGAGGCACTATGAGCTTTGTTTTTGTGGGATCGTAGGGTGAACCTTAATATGGAATCTTGGAGAACTAACCCCGACACTACGAAAGCTCAGAGAGCTTCAAACCCTCGAACAAGGAAGTCCGGAATGCCAACGCTCGCATTCCCAGGTGATGGACCAAGGGCTGGTGGGCTGTGGCCGTGTCTGCAGGGCTCAACGTCATGGCAAAGATCTCGCGAAAGGTGTCTTTGCGGTCCCTGCCAACGACATCTGGCCTCCACTGAAATGTTGGGCACGTGATCAAGACCTTTCCCTACACAATGGAAGCACCTGAAAGACCAAAACGTGAACCAAGTCCGATGTTCGACTCTGGCGTGTCCTGCCGCCTCAAGTGGCACGGGGGCATCGACGGCCGTTCTTAGGCCGGCATGTAGGTGTTCGGAATCTCACTTTGCTGAACATGGGGGGGGGGGGGGTTAAGAACTTCAAGCGGTTTGACAGACTCTACGAGGCTTATATGGGGTTCCAAACAAATCAGAGGGGCAGCTTTTGTTATGAGTCCTTATAGACAGGATTCTACTATAGCTACTATCAATCCCCTCAAAGAGAATTGCTACTTTCAATACTGCCCTCTGTGCACAGATTATGGTTGTGGAAGCTTCAAGAACAAATGCATCATAACATACTATAGTATTCTGCAATGTATATGTGTATACACTGCAACATACGAGTTTCAAGAGTGTGCTGATTGGAACCGGGTCAGCACTCTGGGCTGGAGAAAAATCGGCGTTCGCTGTGCAGGCATGGGGTTCTTAGCGATTGGTCTACCTGGACCTTTAAGAGTAAAACTTTTTTGGGGTTCCTCATTATGGTTTCATTACATTAGTCGTCTGTTAAAAGGTAGGCTATTCAGGGGCCAGATGGGGTCTGGGGTTCAGGGTCCGAGGGTTGGCATGGTTCAAGTTCGGAGTGCAAGGGTTGGCTTGATAGTTGGGTCTGTCTGCGTGTTGATTATCGGGGTCGGCATAAAAATTGACTCTCTACAAAATCCTGTTCTGTCACGTCCGAAGCTTCTAATCCTACATACAGGAGCCCATGAAAAAAGCAACCCTCTTCAAATGATTAAGGCCCCTTGATTTCCTCGACGTTTAAGTCTTGGTAATGTGGAAGTTCGCAACAAGCCCCTGGAGGCTGCAAGGGCAGGAGACCTTAAATGATGAGCTCTAATTTCTGCGTTTTTTTTCAATGTATAGTTTGGGTTTATGGGTTTATGGTTCAGGGCTTTCTTTCTGGTTTTGGGGTTCCCTGGTTCATCACAGATTTGTTTGTGGCATGGTCTTGTTCTCAGGTCGTCGTGTTGTGTCTACATATTGGCTGCGTATGTAGCGTCAGAGGCTAACAGGGAGTAGTTTTTGAGACGCTGCAGTATGCAGTATCGCAGATTGTTACTTGTTCCTGGATCATTTTTCCGTAAACACACCCGATTACCTATACTAATGTGGAACTTAGGACCTTTTGCCCACGTCCCAGATTAGGTCTCTGGTGGAAGCCCGGGACTAGTGTTAAAACAATGCATCTCGGTTCAGGGCTTAGGGTCAGGTATAAGCCACTGCGGAACACTTTATTCGCATGCGTCGTTGTTTTGTTTCGGGCTTCATCGAGCTAGGACACTGGGTGCAGCGGTTCGGACTTACAGTACACCGGTGGCTCCCAAGGGCCCGAGCAAGGGCATTCGTAAGATAATCCACCCTACCTGAAGCTTACAACACTATCCAGACAACGAAACTCAGCTCAGCCCTAAACAGCCTCAAACATGTACATACCTAGAGGCTCCAAAGTAGTTCCTTTTTGGGGATCATATATAGGATCCTACAAGGTAATCCCAAAAAGGAACTACTATGGAGCCTATGGGTACACGTACACACTCCATCGCCCGACGGCAGAGAGCGCCCACGTCAGGCGCGAAGTGACCTCACTGAGGGCCTGCAGAAGCCAGAAGAGGAGGTCGGCAGGCTGTAAATGGACCCTTTAAGGGTCCCTTTAAAGGGATCTATAGGGATTCTATACGGGTATAGGGTTTAGGGCCTACTTGTTAGTTTAAGGGTCGTTATAAGTGGGGGTATAATTAGGGTAACTATGGTTATAACCCCTATAAGGGGACTTATAACCCCATTTATATCTTCCCATGCACCTCCAAGTAGGGTTTGTGGATTACTTGGGGGTATAAGCGGTTTCGGTGTTTAGAGCCGAGGGCAAGTTCGGGGCATATGATTTGTAAGTCTAGGGTTTAAGGAATTCCAAGGGTAAAAGGAGGGACCCTTAATAAGGACCCCTTGGTATATACCCTGCATATAGCTATAAAATACCCATTATATAGCCCATTGTGGGGTAGGGGTCCCCATTAAGGGTCCCTCCTTTTCCCCTTTGAGGAATGGTGTCCCCGGGCTGCAAGGACTCGTGCTGTAAGCAAGGATCATAATGTAGGTCATAGGTCATCGGGTTAGGGGTGGAGCTTGAGTTTTCTTGCGGCCTGTGTTTGGCATTTCGGGTGCAGGGCCTGGTGTATCGAGGTAGGTGTATTTCACGATTTGCGATATCGGGCTGTCGGTTTGGCGTGCGGGTCTTGCAAGGAATTCTGCGTGACTCAGGTATGTGTGTTTGTTTGTCTTAGCTCGTACTGCAATGATGCAAAGACATCCGGTCGTCTCTCCCTCTTTGGATTCTGGGGTACTCCAGACCACAGTGACGGCGGCATGATGATGATACTGATGACGATGCAGACCATGACAAAGATGATGATGAGGACGATGACGATGATCATGATGATGTTGATGATGACGGATACAAAGGTTATGATGATGATGATGATGATGATGATGATGATGATGATGGAATGACGAATATGAAGATGATGACGATGATGATGATGATGGTGATGATGATGATGATGATGCGGATGACGTCGGTTATGGAGATGATGACGAATATGAAGATTATGATAATTTTGATGACCATGCCAATCATGATGATGGTGATTGCAGCAAAGCTCAGCAAAATCCAGTATGAAGATGCCGATAACGCTGATCCTCATCCACCTGTACTATGCATATTCTGCAGTATCAGGAGCATTAAAGTCGGCCGTGGTTTTGTCTATTTCACTCCAGCTCTAAATCCAGAACACTCTCCATCGAACTCCCCTACGGTCCTCAGCCCTGTGAACCCTAACCTCCAAATCGCGAAACCGTAAACCCAAATCCCCAAACCGGAAAGCCTACAGTCAAAGTTCTACACCCAAATCCCTTGGCCCAAAACCGACCCCAGCACTCTAAAGCCAAAACTCGAAACTCATCCGGCCCCCATCCATAGGCGATCGATGCAGATGCCTTTGAAGCGTCTATGGAGGCTAAGCACCCAGCACTGCGCTCCTTTGGACCCTGAGCGTGAATTTTTGTCGGCGGCAGGCTGCTAGGGACCCTAAACTCTCTTACTGCTAAGCCCAGAGACTCCAATATCCCTTAATTAAGGAAGGAATATACCTTAAATCATATTAGGGATCCTACGATAATTTAAGGTATATTCCTTAATTAAGGGAGAATGGAGTCTCTGCGAAGCCATGAAGCCTTGTCGCTGGTTCCGGTTGTTTCGGCTTCGGGATTTGCAGAGTCCCAATTCAAGCCTTCGCAGGAATTGGGGAAGATGAGGAATTCTATAAGAGTTCTATATAAGTGTTGCTGTGTGGGCTCACCTACAATCTCTGCGGTACTTAATTTGTTTGCCTGCCGTGCTGCTGCTACTGGGTGGGTGCGAAATCTAGCTTTAAAGTTTCCAAGCTGCAAAAGGAACTATGCAAGGGCGACAAAAGCTGTGATTTCCCCAGCAGTGGACTGCAAGACATTGGCTGCTTGGGATAACAACGGCGAAGGTGCACGACCCTTAAACCTTAAACCCCAAACCCTAAACCGCACTGGCAAGAAGGCATGAGGCTTGAACAAAAAACGTAAGTAAACCCTGAACCCTTACCCCTATAGGGGTAAGGGTTTCAGGGTTTATAAACCCTGAAACCCTAAAGCCCTGAGCAGGACACGAAGCGCCGAAATCCAGATTGGCTTATCGGTGTCGAGCGAGGTAATGTAGGAGCCAAAATAGGAGTTTCCGAAAATGGGGGACCCTAATATGGTACCCTAAGTAGTAGGATCCTTATTATAAGGACCCCAAAATAAGGAACCCACCAAATTTCGGAAACTCCCAAATAATGTTTTTTGGGGGGGTTCCCAATTATATACATATATATATATATATATATATATAGATATACACATATATATATATATATAGTATAGTATAGTATGCCTAATTGTCAAGGTCCGTACATTAAATCATGCTGAGTTAGGCTTTTACCAGGTAAGGATGAAAAGGCTGTCCCATGACACCATGGAGCTCTCAGGTAGACAAAGACAAAGGCTTCAACAAGGAAAGCAGTAACCTCGTCGAGACCCCATACACCCTTCCCTAAACCGAAGCCTATAAAAACCAAGCCCTTACACCCTTCCCTAAACCGAAGCTCATAGGTTATTACCAACCCCCCCACCAACCCCCCCCCCAGCAGC